TACCAGAAGTGAGGTCATTGCTGTGACTGTAGCTGATCCTGTGGTTCAGAAGCCTCTGAAACTGTCTTGTGGGAAGAATTAGGAAATGTTCAGGATGCAAGCTGAAAAAGCAACCCTGGAATGCCTCAGGCTATACTTGATGGGAGAGTCTGATCCAGTCTAGAAGACCAGGACGCTTCTAGAATTACTGGCAAACACCAGGCTGGGAAGGACTGCACTGGCCAATGGATTTCAGAACATGGATGTTATGCGTTGACATAAAATTTTTCCACACTTTGTTCCTATCTAGAGACTTTGTCTGAGATTGAGATTAAGAGCAGTGAACTAATCTTGCAGAATAAATCTCAAAACAGTCTAATTTTGTGGGGTGGCATAGCTATTGTTTGGTGCTATTATCCAGATTTAGGGTGAGAATTAAAAGCAAAGATCCAGCCTAATGATTCAAAATGTTCTGAGTTTGGCCAGAAAGGAAGTTCCAGTAGAGTTGCAGCCTGCAAAGGTGGAACAGAAGAGAAATTGGTCACTGGAAAGACTCACAAGGAAAAGCCAAGTATTTCAGTAGAGGACAAGGGAAAACATGGTCTGAGGAAACCACAAGAACCAGCAGGACTTTGTCCCTTTCAACCTCAAAATTGCAAAACTGAAAGATTTTACTTTGAGAAGAGAGTCCCAGAGCCTTGTGTTTCAGAATGATGGCAGCCTAGGGCGATTGTTTCTCATGAGCACCTGACCTTTGTAGCCATGAGAGAAGGAAGCTGAGCTACTGCTTCAGCTGGCAGCAGATCATCACATCACCCTCATGGTGCTGGTTATAGGTGCATGTGGAATGCAAGTGTTGTGTGGTCAGGAAGGCTTCCACCAAGGTTTCAGAAGGCCTGAGAGGGCAAGCAATGAGCACCTACCTGGGAGGGCAGTGTGTAAAGCTGTGAGCTTGAGGCCAAAGGTGCAGTGGAAAACCCACAAGTTTGGATAAGCCAGGAATGTGGATCATCTGAGGAAAACTCCCAGGAAGGGGCAGAGCCAGTCCAAGAGCAAAGCTATGGAAGCTACCATCAGTGTAAGTGCTGTAATCACAGTCACCAAAGCCCTCTGGAGCTCACATCTTGCCACAGAGTGCCTCAAATTCTGGACATGGAACTACAGGACATAATGTTTGCCCTGATGGATTTTGCACTTGCTTTGGTCCCATTCCTTTGTATCCCCCTATTTGTACTTGTTTGAATGTAAAAGTCTGTCTTGTGCCATTGTGTGTTGGAAGTGTTTAACTCTATTTTTGTTTGTACAGGGGCTCGCAGCTAAGAGTGTGCCCTAAATCTCAGATGAGGCTTTGGACTTGGACTTTTCAGCAATGCTGAAACTGCTAGGACTTCAGCAACTCTTGAAGGAGATAGACTAACTTGTTTTTGCATAAAGGGATGAGCATGGATCTTTGGAGGGTCAGGGGCGGGATGATATGCTTTGCATTTATATGTCTCCCCAAAGCTTTATGCATCATAGGTGGGTCTTTTTCAGACGTGGCTGAATCGTTTTGTTTTGTTTTGTTTTTCATTTTTCTTCCAGTACCAGGAATGAAACTCATGACCTTGTGCTTGCCAGGCAGGCGCTTTGCCACTGAGCTAAATCCCCAGCCCCCAGACATGGCTGAATCTTGAGTGTGTGATGGATTCATGGTAAAACGCTAGGATTAAGGATGTTAAGGAAGGATCAATACTAAATCAGTCCATTGATTGATTTGACACTGTCCTGATTCTGGTAGACCGGATACAATATAAAGGACAGAAAGAGTTTTGTCTTGTACCTTGTTTGCTTTGCTACCTTCTGCCTGTCATAAACTGTTTCTCTGTGATGCCTGTCTGCCTGCCACATGGCCTTGGAGCCCCCCAGTTATGGACTGAAACCTCTACAAACTGTGAGCTAAATAAAACTTTCCTTTTTTAACTTTGGGTGTCAAGTATTTTGTCCCAGCAAGGACAAAAGTAACTAAGACACTGCTGTACCCTTTAAAGTCTTAAAGTGAAGCCATGATGAATCATCTAATAGGTTTTAGTACATTTATTCCATAGGTTTAAATTTCAAGATTACATAATTATGATCATTTTGATGACTGCTAGGTATATTTTAGACTAATTTACTGTCCATGTTTTCCTGCAGTGCTACCACTGAGAAGTAATTGATGTTTTACAGTCACTCATCCTTTTAATTTCAGATTTTGAAAAGTGTTAATTTGTGGTTCTATGAGAAGCTGATAATTTCAGATGTACGTCCTGGTTGTAACTCCCGTCTTTGACCTCCAGGTGGTCCTGGTGCAAAATCTAAATTCTATAGGATAAACAAAGTCACTACTGTAGTTGGTCAGGCATTTCCTTCTGGCTTCTGACGTTGCTTCTGATATGTAACATATTAACAGCTTTTTTAAAGGCCCAGATACATTTCAGTTATCCTCGGCCACCTTAAGCTGGTGTATAACCCCGTGCTCCTGGTCTTGGGATGCAGCCTTTCCTGTCATCCTTCCCCCCAGGTCATGTTCCTGTCAGCTCCCTGAGGAGCTGCAGTCACTGCAGCACTAGGTCAGTCCCTCTCTGTCTTCAGTCTCCAAGCAACTTCTGCCTTTGGCCAGTGATTCTCGCATGTGAGGTTTTTCTGAAACAGCATAATTTTACAATCCCCTCTCCATTAAAATCATCCTCACAGCATCATTTTTACCACATTTTAATGATTTACTTTTGCTCACTACTGTGGTTTTAAATTGTTATTATCTGATTATATTCAAAATAAATGAAACCTACATTTAAACAAAGGTTTTTACCCAAATTTGTTGCCAGCTGCACTGGAAATGTATCAAATCTCCATCAAAGTATGAGTGAGCACATCATTTTATACCCATACAAAAGAATTCTTAGGAATGTACTGAAAAACAAAATATACATGAACAAAAAATTTTATTCTAGGTGAAAAATAGACACAAAAGACCACATAGTATATGATCCTATTTTTATAAATCTCAAGAAAGAAATATCTAACTGAAAGGTACAGACTAGGTGCAGAAATTGAATCAGAAGGGGTATGAAGTATTTCTTTAAAGTGATGGGTATGTTCATATTTTGATTGGGCTGATGATTCCCCTGTTATATGAACTTACTGGCAAGCATCAGAATGGTTTCATAATATGCTACGTAAATTTTCTTCAGTAAATAGATTTTTAAAAGACAGTTTGAGTGAGCATTTTTTCTTAGCAGTATACCACATTTGCTAATTGGTGAGATTGAAAATTGATATAGCCAGTAAGGAAAACATTATGAAATGCCCTTAGTATGTTGAAAATAGAACTAGTATTTGGTCCAGTCATTCCACTTCTTGTTAAATACTCAAAAGAATTGAAATCAGTATCTTGACAAGATACCTGCTCTCCAAGATGCAAAATTATAGAATTATTCACAATAGCCAACATATCGATACAAACTCTGAACCTGTGCATCAACTGGTGAATGACTGGAGAGAGAGATTTTTAAAAAAGGAGGGAGGAAGGAAGAGAAAAAAAGGGAGGGAGGGAGAGAGATAATATAGAGCGACAGATAATGGAATATTACTCAGTCCTGAAGCACAGATCTTACCATTTGTAACAACCCAGAAGAATGAAGAGGATATTACACTAGGTGAAACAAGTAAGACTCCAAAAGACAAATAGTCCATGACCTCCCTCAGGTAAACAGAATATCGTGGTGGCTACAGGGTTTGAGGGCGGGAGAATTTTAGTCGAAGGGTAGAGATTTTCAGTTATAAAGTGAATCATTCTTGCCACTTCCTGAAGCATCTTTGGGAATTCTCTACTGTCAGTTCCTTTATAAGGGATAATTTAAAATACAGAGAATGCTGCTGCCGCATGCCATGTAATGGAAACGCAGGCTCATAAGAACACGATTGTGTGTCTACAGTGTGTGTAGCTGTGTCTACACAGCTCGTGAGATTTGACATCATATGACTTCTGGTTCTACAAGGTTAAGACCATGAAAGGTAAACATTTGTAACCAGTTCAGGACAGGGAGGCAGCTGGGACAGTGCAACTGAAGCACTTACAGAAGAGGACTTCCGGGACTACTTCAGAAAACCGCAAGAAAGGTGGGGTAGGGGGCTGGGGATTTAGCTCAGCGGCAAAAGCGCCTGCCTGGCAAGCGCAAGGTCGTGAGTTCGGTTCCTGGTACCGGAGAAAAACCAAAACCAAAAAAAAAAAAAGAAAGGTGGGGTAACTGTGTCTGAAGGGAGGAGAGTACTTTGAGGGAGATTAATGGCAACATTTCTTTTACTATAATAATTTTTTAATTTAAGCAATCAAATTTTTTAATATTCATACTTGAAAGATTTTATTGGGTAAATATTCCCAACACAGAAACAGACACACATTCTGGTACTTACCACATACTCATTTTGAAATAGATTCCTGTATATGGACCACTTTTAGGTTCACAGAAAAGTTGAGCAATACTTACAGAGTTCTCACACACCTCCAGCTCCTCTGAAAGATACAACATCCCCGGTATCAGTATCCCACACTGGAGCGGTTATTTGTTACCACCCATGAAGCCATCTTGGTAGCATCATTATCACTCAAGTCCACAGCTTACATTAGGATTCATTCTTGCTGTTGCATATTCTGTGGATTTTGACAGTGTGTAATGATATGGACCCACAGTTATAGCTACTGTGCAGAATAGTTTTACTATCCGGAAGATTCTGTATGCTTGGCTCCCCTTCTGGAAGCCGGGTCTATGCCGTACTACTGGAAGCATCATGGTAGGACAGGAGGCTGCCCCCATCAGCTCTGCCATGGAGGAGTGGTGTGAACAGCGCAGGAATATAGGTCTCCTGGAGTCCTATCATGGAGCCCATTTCTAAAGGCAGGGAGTGGGTCACTACAGCACTGCCAGTCCCCAGGTCAGCTTAGGCAGAGGTGGGGACTTCGGGCCCTATGTGCAGGGCTCGTGTACTATCTATGCCCTGCGGCCTCAGTCCCCACTCCCCCAGAAAGCAGGTGGGAGCAAGGAAGGTGAGCGGGAGGAGCGGCGATCAGGAGAGGATCCACAGCAAGAGACAGAGGTCACGAAGATGGGCTCGCTCCCAGGCTGGGGCAGGCCTGGGAAAGATGTGGGCCACAGCCGTGCGGAGGTTGCCTCGAGCAGACTCACACCACTTCTGGAGACCCTGCCCACTGTCCCGCACTCAGGCTTGTCTTGAGAGCGGCTCCAGCACTTCTCACACAGGTTAGCCAGGTTAGGGAAGGGCAAGGGCGGCAAAGGGCCCCTGCAGGACAGCAGCTCTTCCCTGACTTCAGTCCCCGCCTCCGGCCCAGTTGGATTGGCAAAGGTAAGGCTGCCGCAGGTGTGCACCGCTACTCTAGCCAGTCTGGTACAGTGGCGTGCCTGAAACCCACTCTCCCGGCCACAGCAGGTCCACCAGCTGGACCCAAGGCCCGGGGGCAGGGAACACTCAGAGAAGCAGGGATCCTGCATGAAGCGCTTCTTACAGCTGGGGCCGACAATCCAGAGAGCCAGTCTGAAGCCGTGGAGCGGGGCCTTCCAGGTGGGCTCCCCAGCTTGTGACGGTGCACAGCAGGCGTCGCCCTTCCGAGGGATGCACTCCCAAAGAGCCTGTGGTCTGGCCCAGGCTCGCTTGCGGCATCCGGCATTTGTGCAGACATCAAGCATCTTGTTCCCAGCCAAGGCAGCCTGACCTTCCACAACCCTAGCAGGGCTCCCGTCACTGCACCCCGCCCTGGTTCAGGGCAGGAGTTCTCCAAGAGGAGGCTCCCTGCCGCCCCCAGGAACAGGACACCCTTCCACCGCCTCCATAGTCTGGGCTTTTCCAGAATGTCATCTAGGTAAAGTGTTCGTAGGCAGCCTTTTCAGATTGGCCAATTTCTTTTAGTAACCATCCATTTAAGCTTTCTCTGTGCCTTCTTATACCACGACGGCTCATGTCTTTTTCACAATAAATAATACTCCACTGTTTAGATGCACTATAGTTTACTTGCATCTTTACCTGTCTGTATGATGTTATTTCTACATTTTCACACTTATGAATTAATGTGCTGTAAACATTCAAGTGCAAACTTTATGTGAATATAAATTTTCTTCTCATTTGGGTAAATACCAAAGAACACAGCCACTGGGACATCTGGGGTGGGTGTGTTCAGTTTTGTGAGATTTTAGTCCTAATGTCTTCGCTAGCTTTTCTAGAAGGTTACATCAGTGAGTATATACCGTTCCACAGGAGTAATGAACATTTTAATTTGATCAGTTCCTTTTAAAATGTGCTTTTAAAAAACAAAAAAGAAAAGGTGTGTCCTAGTTTTTTCACCCAGTGTTCCTAGTATATACAGCTCCGTAAATTTTCCTGACCATTAGGTTGAATGAACACGCTAAATACAATGATTTGCAGAGAAAAGTAAGGGATCTTCCTACAAATACTTCAGGAAATCAGAATATTTCTTTCTAATTACTCCAACAAATTATAGCTCTCCATGATTTGAAGTGGTAATTTTCTCCGAGGATTTCCTCCGAGTGGCTTGTTTATCACGCATGCACGACACTCTCTGTTATTGCACATTTTTCAAAATTACAAGGGCTGCCTGACTGCTATTTTATCCAATTAATATTTATAACTTAGGATGTCCATTACTTTCAGACTCAGAGCCCAGCATCTGCTTAATGGTCTGACTCATGTCTTTGTTCATTTAGCTCTAAAAGTTTTGCTGAGCTTTCTGTACATAAGAAAGGAACAGAGTCTTATAGTTTTAAGAAAAGAATCCAGGTTGATTCAGATTAGAACAGAACAGAAAGTGAGGCAGCAGGCCATTCACCCTGATGCTATAAATACCTTCAGATTTAGACCACTGTATCTTTAATTCGTGAAGTTTTAATCTATCCATTCCCTAGCTCCAAAGATATAAATTAGTGTCAAATATGTACCAGACAACAACTAGGTACGAAATACTATAGATAATTTATTTCAAAATATTTTGTACTTTCCTTACAATATTTTCAACTTCACAAGCCTTGGACCCTAGCAATGCTTTAGCTTGGATAGGATACTCTATTTCCAGCTGCCCAAGGTTTGTTTGGGGCTTGTATTACAATCTTAATCTTATAACAAGCAGATTTTTTGTCAGAAAGGGTAGAGTACCATATAAATCTCTTTTTCATTTAAGCAAGGAAGACCTCTTTTATTGGAATGCATATTTTAAGAAAATTAATAAGAAGAGCTCAGGGCTGGGGATTTAGCTCAGTGGCACAGCACCTGCCTGGCAAGCGCAACGTCATGAGTTCAATTCCTGGTACCAGAAAAAAAAAAAAAAAAAAAGAGCTCCACATCATATGCAAAAGGAAAGAGGGGGAATAACCCATGTGTCAACTCCATGCAAGATATAAGACCCTTTACATCGTTAGTAGGAGGATGTCCTCCACCAGATGCTTGGAAGTTTGCACTTTCTCCACTTGTGAAGTATTTCTGTCAACCATAATGTGATTCAAGGGCCCTGTCACTGACATGACTTGGAGAAAAGGTTGTCTAATAAGCAGGTCCTTTGAGCTTTTCAGCTTTCCTTTTCCTTCCCATTCTGAGCAGCAGTCTGAGGAGTCCTAGTCTGCTCAGTTTCAGATTGCCCACGTTGAAGATGTTGTCCAATGGCTCATCCTTCAGGATACGCACCTTGTAGTTTAAATTGAGGATGCTCTAAGTTATTGAGTGAACTAACATTTGACAAGAATTTTATTCTCAGATCTATTCATCACAGTATAATTATCTCAGTTATTTCCTATTTTCCATTGTTTTCTAACCACGTTTTGAATATCATTTGTCATTTGTGAAACTCTTATTAAAATACATTATTGTAGACATCATTCAGAATGTATTCACGTTTCTTCCTCCTCTTTCCCTATGCAGCCAGCTCTGCTATTTTATTGTTCATGGTATCCAAACAGATTGGGGAAGCTGCCGAGATGGGCTTCTAAGGCAAAGTCAAGGGCAATTACTTGGTCAAGGCTTAGCCAACTAATTCTGATCAACTGAAAACAGAAAACTACTAACATTACAGCTAAAGGACAATATTTTCAGCTTACTTTTTTCTCCAGCATGTTTCTCAGCAAAATAATGGTAATAACAACAGTAACAGTAACATCACTTTGGGAAACATATATTACAGAAAAGAGTCGACGCTATCCTTTTAGCAAGCACAGCCACTCTCCAACAACGTGGAAGGACTGGATAACTGAAACCTTCAGTCTCTCTCTGTTTCTAGCCCTGTGAGACGCCCCTTGAGAACTGCATTTCAAGAAAATGGATTTGTTCTAATTTTATTCTTAGCTAGTAACTATGATAACAAAATGGATTTGAAAAAGAATCACTCAGTAAAATAAAAGGCATTAGAAAATAAAGAGGCCAAATATAGACATGAATCATTATGACCTCGATAAACAAGGCATAATTTAGTCAAATGCAGTTTTTGTAGAAATAAAGATAGACTCAGGCATTGTGATATGAAGGGAAAGAAGTGGGGTTTTCAAGTCAGGATTCTCTTAAGTCTGGCTTGGAAGCAGAGAAAGGAGAAGAACTTGTCTGATTCCACGTTCTTAGCTATGAATGGGGGCAATAATGCTCACCACAAAAGTTATTTTGAAGATTCATTAATCTGCTTTCAGTGAAAATAACACATACATCAATAAATATTTCGAGTATATGTGTAGATGTGCAAAACAGCATCAGCAATGTGACATAGACTTAATAAATTTTAGTTTCCTGGATAGCAAATGAAGCTAAAATATGAAGATTGAAGATGGTGAAATATGAAAAAATTTACCTTGTCATGTTTTCCCATTCTTTGTACTTGTACTAATACAGTGCTGGAAAATTCAGAGCAAATTAGAGATTCTTCAGCATGGTCCTTTTTAATTTTTCATGAAATGAATTTGTTCATTAGAATTTAGAGAGAGGAATGGGAATGCACATATTTAAAGGAAATTTAGCAGGGTGAATTATAATAATTTTAGTCACATGTCATCTTGATGTTTGCCTCAAACTTCTCTGTGCAGGGATTATCTTCTAGTAGATACTGTGTTGTCATGATTGTTTCAGTAGTGATTTTGACAAACTCTGTAAATATTATTCCTGTGACTCGAATGTTTGAAATATCTAAATTTTCAAGACAGCCCCAAGCTACATTATTTTACAAGACCCCTCAATTCTTTCTAAGTTGGACATTAAGACCTTTTAAGATTTTTAAATTTTTTTCTGTTTTTTAAATTTTGAAATAGGCCAGTTTTACAAGCATCTCTCATAAGATCTCTCCCAGTCATCTCTAATGGATGATATATAAATATCTGTCTTATATGAAGAGAAGGTAAACTGCACAACATAAGAGTTGGTGTGTTTTCAGATATAGTACCTTAAATAACAACACACTTTTATTAACCTCATACATGCAATAAATCATATCAGAAAACAAAACATAAGCAGTTATTGATTCTCCTCTACATTTCCCATACATCATTTCCATGCCAGAGATGAGATTTAGCTATCAAGAGCATAAATTTGTCTAACTCCCTCCTAAAATATTTTTGAACCATATATAAAAGCATAAACATTTATTTTAAAACATGCAATAATGAAGTTAGACAGAAAAATTGATCCTCAAAAATTCCTAACTCAGCTATAGAGAAAGTAATCATGAAGGCAAAAATAATAGTCACCAACTGCTGCATAACAAATTACCCTACGTGACGCCTGAAAGCTTTTGGCCAGAGTCTTCTCAAGCAGGAAGCATTCCAAACCGTGAGGGCTTCTGCCTCCTAAACTTCCCTGCCCCACCTAATGGCCAAGCTATGAATCCTCCTCCTTCTTACTCTGCCAGGATAAAAGTTGGTAAGATTTCTGGTTTCTAAATTTCCACTTTCTCCTCTTTGGAAGCAAAAGAAAGTGACAATTTATGCTGATAAATTGGTTTTGCTACCAATAACAGAAAGGAATTTGTGAATGATTCTTAGGTTTACTTTAGTTCAACACATTTTTCTTCATTTTGCAAAATGAAATTTCTGCCACTGCCCCAGAGCTGGTTCAATTATCACAGAAAAAAAATTGACACAAAGTCAGAAATATGCATGTCCCTAGATGGCTACTGTAACTTATTTTGTAAAATAATTTAAAAGTGGATGATTCTGCTGACAGCTGTCATCTCCAAAGCCTGAAATGTCAGAGGCTAATTTTCTCTCATATAAAAATATATGCCATGAATTTTAGATTCAGAATCCACTGAAAGGTTAGTAGTTTATATACTGAAAAACCACTATTTTCAATCATCTGGGCATTGTTTTAAAAGGTTTCCATCATGAAAGCTAGCAAGTTACATCTATTTTTGTACAGTGATACATAGAAAAATCTTGTTTTCAAGTATGAAATATATCTTTAAAGTCTTGAATATTGGTGATTAAATTATCACTAGATTTTTAAAACTTTTTTTGCTTCTCAAGACAAAACACCTCCACACTTGTATATGTCATAGATTATAATGATGTTTCTTAAAATGTTATTGCTACAATGATCACAATCTAAGTTAATCATTCAATATAGTAAGAATCTATCAAAAATTTCAAATTAATCTTTAACAATATAGAAATAATATTTTCATAAACTCCAGAACCTTCTTACAACATTC